GAAAAGTGTTCTTTTATCCAACATGAATGATTTTTTCGTAATTGAGGTAATTTACCAAAAAAAGAATAATAATAATAATAATAAGAAAAATAAAAATAAAAATGTTGCTGAAAAACCACCAAACTTTTATAAATAAAAATTAACCCTCTTATTTCCGTACCATGACACCAATTGTGTACCTTAACACGTACACCCCCACCCCACCCACCCACCATTTTCTTTTATAAATTCACACCACCATGTTTCACTTCTTCCTCACGATTAAACCATCACATTATTAAATTCAAATCTAATTCTCCTCACTACACACACAGATACACACACACACATATATATATATATACACACACACAGACACACATAATTTGCTTACTAAGAGTTCGATTATCGGTGCTATTGTTGCACCTCGGATGAGGAGAGTGGGAAGATCAAGTAATATAAGCGGCGGCACCGGAAAATCAACCGATGGAGGGTCAGTATCACGGCGGCGCGCCTATTTCTCACAGCGGAGGATCTCGCCCTTCCCTAGGGTTTCCCCTGGGAACCGCACTTCTCTTGGTGGTGATCTTCAGCCTCAGCGGAATATTCTCCTGCTGCTACCACTGGGACAAGCTCCGCCGCACTTTGTCCCTCAACGCCGCCGCCGATCTCGAAGCCGACGGTGATCTCGGCCCCTCCAAACCTAAAAACCCTCACCTGGTAATTTTTTTTTTTTTTAAATTCTCACTCGCACAAAATTCATTTTCTGTATTTTATAATTTTTAAAATTAATTAATTAATATTTATTTTTTTGTTTTTTTCTCAGCATATGAAGAAGGAGGTGAATCAGAGTTTGCCTGTGATAATGCCAGGGGATAACGTACCCAGGTTCATAGCGCTGCCGTGTCCGTGTGAGCCGCCGCGGCTGGGCCAAATCGCCGCCGTGGTGCAGAAACCGCCGCCAAAGCCGCCGCGGATCGCCGTGCCCTTGTATTAAAGTTGATTCCCATGTATATAAATTTTTTAGAGTTGAATTAAAATTCCAATCTTCTTATCTATGTTTCATTATTTAATTAAATATAGAATTGAATTTTAATACGGCGGCATTCAATTGGATAATAAATGCAATTTCCTTTTTATTAATTTTTGTGATTAAATTGAATTCTACTAACATGAACTTATAACTCAATTTAATAGTAATATTTTTATTTATTTATTTATTTTATTATTTTTATTTTTAAGCAAACATAGAGCTGATTTTATACCACTGAAAATGAAATAAGTCAGTACAAAAAATGTGTACCCTTGAAAATTATTATACCATGATATGTCACACAAAGCAAGTGGAGTTTAAATATCTGCTTTTTGAATTGTACTGTTTTTCAATTTTAAATATCACAAATTTTATTTCAACTTATTTGTTTTTTTAAATTGTCTTTTTTCGAATTAAATAGCCACCTACATCATGAACTGAAATAGAGATATTATTATTGCCTACTCTAGCAAAATTGACCACCATCTCATCGTAATTTAATTTATGAATCCATGTAAATTTGAATAATGTTACAATATTGTTGCTCACTTATGAATAAACCCTTGGGATTATATAGTCACAAATCTAATCGTAAACTTACTTTACGAAGAATATTAAATTTATTTAGACCTTTTTTCCCCAAATAATAAAATTTGAGTAGACTAAATGAATATATAAATATAATAGGAATGATTTTTTTTTTTGCGATTGTGGGTGATAGTAAGAGTATTCAACTACTCTAATATTTAATTAGTAATTTATAATCTTACATATTTTCCTAATTTAATTTGACCCTCAAAATATTATATGTTCTTAAATCATATGAAGCGCACACGATTCAAATTGTAAATCAAAATATTTAAATCATACAAAATCGGAACTGGAATCAAATCGGGTATATATTAAACCGGAACGAATAATGCCGATTTAAATACTAAAATTATACATTTTAAATAATACTATGCTTGCGAGTTGCCACAGTATATACTATATAGTAATCTATTTTATATTTTTTTATAGTGACTGAATCAAGAAGGTGATTATGATATATTAATAGTCAGATATTGCTATGGAGCGTCACCATTTTTCACATACATTTGGAAATATATAGAGATTAAATAAATAAATATCAAAGAAGGAAACAAGACTACAATCGTAATGTACTGTTGGAGTGGTTGTGGGATGACATTATAGATTACGTTAATATATTTGTCTCATTAATTGAAAATATTCGAATAAAGTTTGCTTGTTAGTGGTAAAAGATTCCGTAATTTGCATTGGATTTGGTGTGAACAAATATTATTTTATAATGTACTGCGCTGATAATTTTAGGTGGTATTTGCAAAAACTTATTTAAAAATAAAAGTTATTGATTGTAATTTAAGTGAATATTAAATATTTATTTCTAACAATCGATGGTGTTTGTAAATGTACTGGAAAAACTTTGATCATTGAAAAGAAAAAAGATCATACGCTCCTATTTCTCTTTGAAGCATGGATTTTTTTATAATAATAATAATACTAATAATAATAATAATAAATAAATAAATAAATAAAATAGAGACAACTTTGAATACAGTGATGAGTCAGCATCTTATCATGGAAAAAAAAGCACTAGAAAATAATGATACATGAGGACTTCGTCTCCACTTTGTTCCCCCTGACCTAATTTCACTATACAAATCATATTTTTCATGAGTGCTTTTGTTGCACTTATTTGTACTGCATCCCTAATCATTTCTGCTCTTTTTTATTCTTTTTCTTTCACTATATATATATATATATATATATATATATATATATATATATATATATATATATATATATATATATATATATATAATTAATATGTCACTTTCGCATTTGTCTTTCATGAAACCCTAGTTGGATTTGAGCTTTTTTCTTGTACCTTCACCAAACAATGGAGAGAATTCTATACATATTTAGCGAGTAAAAGAAAAATCCTTCCTCAAAAGAAAAAAAGGATTCGGTGAATATTCTTACCTATTTTAATTAGATGTATCACTACAACAATATCTTAGCTATAAGAAGCAATATGATGATGGATTGCCACATCTGTAACACGAAAACTTCAACTTCTTTACGTATTTGTGTTTCGGACATGTTTTGTGTCCGACACTCGAGAACATCTGACGAACACTTTATGGGTTGTTTTGTAATTTTTAAAAAGTTGAAAACATGAAATTTTTTTCTGCGTAATTTGAACTTATAAATTCAGGGATGTGGCCGTAATTTACCCTAAAATTAATGGTCCGAATTAGCAAATTAAACCTAAATATGTTCAAATTAAACTCTAGCTCTTGCTATTGTATTAGTGCAAACGTACGGATGATAAGCAGACAACGCAGGCCCCCCTTCCAGATTCGAAATTTAATATTGAGACCCTGTATTCTTACGAAACTTCATAAGGGCCCCATAAGTTTGAATAATCACATGGGAATGGGGACAGGGACAACTTGTAGTGGGTTATTAGGGCATTATCTAATCAACAATTGACCATCATCATAATTATGATTATGATGATCTTGATTTGAATTTATTATATCTGAAGTTTGCTCATACTCTCGTATAATAACTTGTAAATCATACGAGAGATGCAAACAACACTAGGCTTGTCATATGTAACAAACGACCGTTGGCAAGGGAATTTGAATTTGGACCCATTGATACAAGCTCTCTACTATCGATCATTCTTCGAGTTTAATTTCTTGTGTCGTATTAAGAGCACGCATAAAAAAGGAGTTACATAATGTTCTTTTTTTCCTATGGAAATTTTGTCTTACAATTAAAAAATTAACAAATGTTTCTCCAATGAATTAAAATACTTAGGAAGTTTTTATTGGAGGATCGATTTGCTATTATAATATATTATATTATATTATATATATACACACTTTAATTCTACCATTGAACAATGAGAAAAATAAATTAGGTTTCTTTCTATCGATCGATCGGCCCACGAATAGATAAACAAATGTGGATAGAAATCAATCAATCACACATACTAATTTGTAGTTACTATATATCCATCAATAACTTGGTGGAATTCCTTGTTAAAAGTTAGGTATTACAGCAAAAAAGTATGTTGTACAATATTATCACATAACAAACATTAAAAAAATAGAAGAGTAAAAAAAAGTATTGTATGTTTGCAACTTTTGGAATTATAGATACTACTCCACTCGTTTCTTAATAAATGTCGTTTTTCACATACGCACGATTATTTCTATGATACACCTGATGAATGTTTCTTTTGGTGGACTTTTACTGTTGTTCTACACACGTTAATATGGATGTGTGCGTGTTTGTGTGTACATGAATGATAAAGATCTACCCAATGTATTTAACCGGATGTAGCATAGTATAAACTTTAACAAGCTCAATAAATCAATAAATATGTCCTCATTTTAGAAAAAATAGATATTGTTAGAATGAAATATCTTTGTTTACTAATTACTAATCAGAGCGAGTATTGAAAAGTTAATAAGAACATAATTAAGAAATATATAATTAATGCCGAATTAGAATTATAAAGTGAAATATAGTATGGAACAAGAAAACTAATTAGGCCAAATTTTGAATTAATATTTTGGATCTATAGTATCCAAAAATTTGATAGTTCTATTATATTAGACACGACTTATTAATAAAATAAAACAATTGGTTGAAAATGATATTTTTATCTAAAAAATAAGTTAAATATCACATTTTAGAAAGTTGTAGTTCAATAATTAATCCACATTTTAAACTAAAATATAAGTTAGATGCTAAACCGGGTTATTTACACTAGGTGGATTTGAACCGTAAATTTGATTCAATAAGTACACACTAAACACACATACACGCTGCTGCGTATTTGTTTATGTGTAGACTTACGGGTCAAACCCACCCAATATATATATAACTAGGTGTAAGTTGTAACATCTAGTTATCTCTTTTTTCACTAAATAAAACAAAATCTTGTTCAATATAATTGCCATCCCATAAGATGTGGTGGTAATTAAATTACAAGAAAGTAATGTTTTAATTATATTTTCTACCGAAAATATTTTTATTAATTTATTTTGAGTCCCTATTTTTTTGGATTATTTTATAATGTGGGAATCAGTGATAAGATAATGTAATTAATTAAACTATATATATTATATATATATATGGAATCCTAGTAGCTAGTGATGGAGAAATGCAACAGTGGGATTAGGTCAGATTTGCAGAGAAGTCATTTTATTCACAAATTGATCAACTTGATTTATGAGTGGGATTCCACTAATAATATTATTATTGTAAGCTGC